CCCCCCCCAATATTCATGTGTTGAGGCCCCAACCCTTCAGAAAAGTGTGGCATTATTTGGAGATGGGACCTCTATGGAAGCAATTAAGTTTAAATGAGGTCATAAGGGTGAGGCCCCAATACAACAGGATTAGTGTCCTTAAAAGAAAAGACAGCAGAGAGCTAAGTCTCTCTCCCCATACACAAGGAGAAAAGGCCATATGAGGACACAGTGAGAAGGCAAACATACAAACACCAGGAAGAGTCCTCACCAAAACCAAACCCTGCTGGACCTTAACTTGATTGTGGACTTTCCAGCCTCCTAAACTATGAGAAAGTGAACTTCTGCTGTTTAATCCTCCCAGGCTGTAGTATTTTGTTATGGCAGTCAAAGCAAACATCCATAGCAATGTGCTTTTATTGCTGATTCACCTCTAATAGTAGACTCAGCATTCTGAAGGGAAAATATGAGGCCATAGTCCAAAGGCTTACTTTTATAAAATCTAAAATGTTTCCAAAATCACTTTGGTGAGTGTGCATGTGGAAATGGAAAGGGAGAAGAATTTTCAAAAATATTTCTTCCAAAGTATCATTTTCAGGATGAGAAAAGAATATACTATGAAAAGGATGCTAACAGAAGTTAACTGTATCAATGCTAAAATCAGCACTAAAATTTGTTAAAACTTGCTTGATGTTCTTAAATCTCCTAATTTTACAAAGATCCAATCTGCAAACTTACCTGCAACCAATCATCTCCTTTCCTGGTACAATCTAAGGTGTATCTTCCATCCTGTTTTCTAGATCTCATTTTTTTTGTATCTTTGAAATCCAGCTCAATTAATAATTCCCCTCTTTTAGTAACATTATCTTTAACAGTTTTTCTGTAATTACCATTTCCTTCGCTGTTCTTAAAAATAAAAGCAACCCCCAAAGCAAAAAACCAAACCTTTCCCTCACCCTCAACTTCCTCGGGCTAGAGCCCTCTCTTCTCCCCTTCAGAGCTAACCTTGAAACACAGCATTCAGCTCTTACTTATCCATGCAATCTGTCTGCTACCCTTATTGTTCCACTAACCCTGCTCTCTTCAAGGTCAACAATGATTCCTTTCAGTCCTTAACTGTTTTAAGCCCTCATCAAACACCTAATAACACTGTTCTAGGAGCTTGGGATATATGACATCTTTGACTATTCTCCTTGAAGCAGTCATCCTCAGATCTGTGTTACCATGTGTGGTAATCTGTCACACAGCAATAGATAACTAATATCATGTGACAGATACTATAAAACACCCACCAATATTTAGAGCTAGGAAGTACAGCTATCAGAAGCATGAGAAAGACTATAGAATGTACTCAAGAACAAGGAAAGCTACCTCACCTATGTCATCCAACACACAGTGGAAAAAGCTGGCATATGGTAAATTACCTGAGAGGTACAGTGGCTCTCGGCCTAGCAAAAAAGAACTTGTCCACCAGAAAAGGGGCGTGGTCAGTCATACAAGTAGTGCCTTCCCAAGCACTGTAAGACAGGCAAGAGTGCCTTGCAAAAACCTAACCTGGCACTTTGAATGGATCTTTTTACATGCGCATGATTTTGTAACATCATGCATTGGTCATTTGGAAAATATGTGTTTACTGAGTTAATGTAGATCTTCTCCAAATGTTGACACGTCATTATAATAAAATTTCTTAAAAATAGGATTTGTTAAAATGACCGCAAATCTCATAAAAAATTCTTTTAAGAATAATAAAACTGTCAAGGCTCACGGTAGCAGATAACATGTTTTCCAAAATTCTAACTTTCACTTAAAAGTTCAAATTTTGTCACTGGCAACAAACACTGTCAGTTGTTTTACTTGCAATGAGAGGCTTTCTTTATTTTCAAGAAACTGTCTGGCAAATGCCCAAGTCTAAATAACCACAGTTCGTCTATCAGTCACTCCTTTAAATAAAAATTGGTGTTTCATGAAAAAAAGTGGCTTACTCAGCTTGCAACTCAAGTAAGGGCACAAGTGTTTTTCCTTAGAACAACCACAATATTTTCCATACAGCAAGTGTTTTATGTGTACTTCCTATTTCATTGCACAGGAGATTAAAAAGATATATACTTAAAAGTCAAGATCAATAATAATTAATAATTTGTACTGCTTCAGCCAGAATAGTCAGTGTTTGGAGGTGAAGAATACTAGTAGTTTGGTGCACTGCCTTACTTTGTGCTAAGGTACCAACAGTTTTACCCACCAACACTTTTGCAGATTAGTACAAATGTAAACACACTGGAAAGGACAAACAGCATCTTAATATTATTAAAGAAATAGATTTGACCTCATGAATTCCTTAACAGGATTTTGGAAACTTCCATGCGTTCAGAGTGACCTTTGAGAACCATTACACTATACCAATCCTAACAATTCTAAGCCTTTCCTATCATTATTACAACCCATCAGCTCATTCAATCAATAATTACAGAGGGCTTAATATGTAGTGCCAGACAGGTACCATAAAGTGTCTGAGTGTCTCTACATCATTCACTCATATATCCCAAGCTCCTAGAACAGTGTCTGGCTGACACATAACAGACTCTCAATATTTGTTGAATGAATGAATAAATGGTAGCCATTATATATTTTAACATAAAAGGTCTTTTAGAGTGCATTACACACACACACACACGGTAATTATTGAAATTATTTTCCAATATAATGGGAAAGACTTGTTAGGAAAATGGGACCTCTACTCTTATTATGCTTGGAGTAGTTTTATCTTTACACCATTCTAAATTTTAATTATTATATACACAGACAGTCCTTGCTTTGCACGGTACCATGGAAAGTGAAACTCAGGTATATCAGAACCATGTCCTCTGTATGGTTCCGTGTTAACTAAAACCTTTGGTAACACGGTACTGTGCAAAGCACATCAGTGCAAACAATAGAGAAATAAATTCCAATAACTCACAAATTCAATTTCAGTAAGACAGGGAGGAAAGCATCTTAGGAAGAATAAGTGAGCCTCCTTTGGGCAGTGATTTTGAATGTGTCCCTTATAGGAAAGCAAATCAAACAACTAAATGACTTTTCAAACTCTTAACAAGCCTCCCTCCCATTGTTCATTGCCAGTTCAGAATCAATGCCTAGTGATCAAATAATGAAGGTGGTTCAGTCCTTCATAGGTGTTTGGGAATTGCTCAGAGGGTAGGAGATGGAAAATCAGGGTAGTTAGGGGGAAAGAGGGACCAGCACTTTATAAAATACTGAGACAAAATTAGGTTATAAATCTAGCTTGGTCTCTTTAAAACTATGGGAATTAATATTTCTCAAAACAGAATTAGATCAATTATTTTCTGTCTCCTAATCCTTCTCTCAATTCAACCAAAAAGGCCTTAGAGTTACCCAGTATTTTTGTTTTGTTTTGTTTTTAGAGAGAGAGGAAGGGAGAGAGAGAGAAAGCCTCCTGCATGCCCCCTACTGGCAATCGAGCCCAAAACCTGGGCATGTGCCTGACTGGGAATCAAACCAGCCATCTCCTGGTGCATGGGTCAATGCTCAACCACTGAGCGACACTGGCCAGACAGCACTACCAAGTTTTAAGTTTTCTCCTTTCCTACTTCCATGCCCACATCCACAATGAGAATTTTGTTCTTCCTATTTGAGATTTATTTTTTTAATTAATGAATATAAATATCCCAAAATATTATAAATTTTAAAGTTTATTTGGCTCCAACAAAGAATAGGTATTATACATTAAATGTTTAAATAGATCTGCCAAGAGTTAGGAAGAAACTGGAAGGTATTTTATAGATAAACACTCATGGCAGCTTAGCAATTAAAAAGTGCCATGGGGAAAGCAATAAACAACTTCATTTTTTTAAAAAAATTCTATTCTAAGTCTACTTACTAAGTACCACAAGTGGGACAAATGGGAAATGCTATTTAAACTATACCTTAAAATGTACTGTGATGTTCCAAGGAAGAGCTGAACTTGATGCAAGAAGATCAAATAGCAAACCAATTGGATAATGCCTAAAAATGAAAGAGTATATTTTAAGAAAGAATAAATATTTAAAGTTATAACTACAACTCCAAAATAAATTTCCAGCATGTTTTAATGTCAAGTATCAGGGGACTTCTAACCACATATCACAGAAAGGTGACATTTTATACTCTTACGTGCCTGTGCTAATATGGTATAATTTTCAGGCATCAGGTGGTTTTCTTCTAAATCATTTCATTCCCCAGGGAAGCCTCAATCTGCATAATGGTATTGTGCTAAGGCATCTCTTATCACCCATGAGCACTGTTATGCTACACTATTGCAATACCTAATTATCACCCCAGTATTCATATTGGGCAATCAGTTTTATAAAGCTTTTTTAAATATATTTTCGATTTTAAAACAACTTAAAATTTTAGAAAATTTTAGAATTGAAAAGAGCAGCTAAAAGACCATGCAATCACCTATTTTGTGGTTATTATTACTAATATCATAGCATATAAATTTCCAGTCTTTTACTTATGTGTACAAATCTAAATATAGATTAGGATTTTCCTTTCCAAACTGTTATAACCCACTTTTTTCATATAATATGTGAAAAATTTCCAGAATGACTATTCTTCTGTAATCTAATTCTAAAGTGATTTTTTAAAAATAAAATTTGGACTTCCTAAATAAGAGAACATTTCCTAATATAATCATTACTCACAAGTGAAGCAAATTATTTACCAATACGCAAAAGAATACAAACCTTGCTGATTTCAGTGGACAAACTTTATTTTTTAAATTATCCCTTTAAAGAATCTAAAGTAGCTTAATCAGTAAATCATAATTAAATAATAATCCCAACAAAGGCAAAAGAGAACTATTCGGTGTTATATACAGTCCTGTTGTTTCCCATATATTAGTGAATTACTCCTAGATTTAAGAACTCAAAAATCTGAAAATACACCTTATTTCCCTCAAAACAAGTGACCCAATACATTTTCTCACTAAGATTCAAATATTAGCTAATACTACTTATGTTTGCTTATGTCTATAAAGTATAGTTGTGGAAAGTTATCAGTCATTAGAGATCATATATTTATTTAGAATAAATTTAAGATGAATGCCCTGCTAGTAAAATAAAACAGTGGGTAGCTTTTCATATTAGTTGTATTTCTTAATAGTAACCCTTAAACTTCTCTTTAATCAAAAGTCAGCATCTATTACAAGTCTTTCATAAGTTGAAACGAATAGGGTCGGAAATTTTAGACTACTTAAATAATAAAATGTTAGCTTCAGGATATTCTGAAACCAGAGAAAACTCTGGCCTCAATCAAAACCTAAAATAAAAACAATTAAAAAAACACTGCACTAGAGACAAGTTATAGATTTTATTCAATTCTGGTCCCTCTCTCTGAATTCTTAAAATTGTACAAGCTCTACATAATGTCTTATACTTTTTTACAAAAAGGACCTTTCCATTTTTTAAAAAAAAATGTTCCTCTTAAGTGTCCATAACTAAGTTAAGAATGAATGTGGCTATTTAAGCTAGCAGAGCATATTGCTTTCCAATCCCTTTAGCAAATTAAGCAGTTGACATATTGGATAGATTCACCAGAAGCCCATAAAATGGCTAGCAATGCAGTGTTGTGCACATTCTCTGCCACTTATAATGAAACTGTATGCAAATTCTAAAGTGAAATCAAATATTATTGTAAAGCAATCAATAATGTCATATAAAATCAAGCATAATTTTAAAAATAAATAATTATTATTTGGGTCAGAATACAAGTTAAACATAAAAAGATTCATAATTATTATCTTTCCCTCAATATTAAAAAAATGACTGTAGGTGCACAGACACAAATAGCTGTGAATGCATAAATCAAAGAGCCACAAAATAGGTAACCCTCAGTATACCATAAAGATCCAATGGACTCAATTTTAGGTTCTGAATTTCTTTTCTGAGCAGCTTTAATTTAGGTTTGACACTTCATAACTTTTATTCTTTCTTAAAGGTCTGCCAAAAACCACAGAGAAAACTCACTTTAAAAAAAAAAAAAAGATGAAAACTTACTCATCTAGTAATTTCCATGTGGATCTACTGGACCCTTTTATAAATCTACGCTGTCTTATGGGATTTTGGTGATCTTGTTTTTTCCTCTATCTTGAAACATTTTGCTATTTCATCAGTCTCTGAATTATTTTGTTACTTAGCAATTATTCCCAACTAATGCTAAAAAAACACGAAAATAGTAAGAATTTGGAAGAAAAATAGCATGCCTAGAAGGATGATACATTAATGTATCCTCTTTTCCATTTTCTTATTGTGTCACTTAAAATATCACATCATATTTCAATAAAGTTTAAAAAAAGGATGCAGACTCCATCTTTGGAGTCTGCTTTTAGCCATCACTAATACAGCTAAAAATTCAAAATGTTGTATTTTCCACCTATAATAGGAAAGAGAAGAAAACGGAGAGGAAGATGTTACACACTCATTAGGATAAACGAGCACTTTTGCAGAGACAGATAACAGTACCTCAGACTTTAATGACAATGGTAAAATTGAAGGTTTAAGTGAAACCTCTGACTGAGTCTTCAGATGATGATATACTAGATATATTTTATAGAACACAAGAACTAATGAAGAAACAATATATTTCTAAGGACATATGGCATTTTTATCCACTTAGTCATTCAACAGAAAGGTCTAATATATAAGTAACAAATACAAATTTTGAATACTTGAGTTATGGTAAGAAGAAACTTCACTTCTTAAAATGCAATGTTAGAGCACCCTCTGCTGACTAATCAACTCAAATCACTCTAAAAAAAAAGAGCTTTTGAGTTAGTTCAGTACTTTCCACTTTCCAGGTAATTTGAAAAAGTTAGACAAAGGACTGTAGAGGCTAAAGCACTAATCAGATAAAACCTCCTTGTAATCTCTCTACAAATCAACAATATATTAAGTATTCGTTAAGTGTATGACACTGTTCTTAAATGTTCTGCCACTCTAATACAGACAAATTAAATAAGCAATTAGAAAGAAATACAAAATTGGAGAAAACAATAACTGACAAATAGAGTATCAGCAGGTGTGATGGAAAGAGCCCTGAACTAAGTCTCTCAAAATCTGGCCCTACTTGCTTATTTGAACAAGTTATTTTATTTATTTTAGCCTCAGTTTTCTCAATAAAAGAGACTAATTTACATTTATCCATTCCTTGAACAAACATTGACTTAGCATCTCTTACAAGCTACTGTTTACGGTAAAAAGTCCCAGCTTAAGCATCTCACTCAGATATTTAAACAATTATAACAATACAAATAGGAAAAGGAATATCAATTCACACTTTCTTTTTTTTAAAATAAATTGTCTAAACTGGTGTTTGATTTCCTCTCTCAACTGAATTTATTTAAAACTCCAGAGAATCAAGTATAAGAAAGATGCTATCATCCTACTCAAATAAATGCTCCTCTACTCTTAAGATACTTTCATGGTCTCAAAAGCCCAAGTCCTACAAAGCTTCAGTAGTAGCTGCTACAATGATTAACCTATCCTATGAGGCCTACTAAATACCAGGTAGATACTGATAGCCTATTTCCTGGAAGATAATTCTTTTAACAAAGGAGAAACTTGCTACTGTTGGGAGCAGAGAGAGAAAAGATCAAGACCTAACTCAGAAGTCCTGGATTACACTCATGCCTCTGGTAGTTATTCATTCCTTAAATATATGGAGTAACTAACAATACTAAAGGAAAGTTGTACCCAAAACCATTAAATACAATGAGCTTTTAGCAAGACATAACTATGCACATGATATCATGCATATCCTCAGAACTAAAATGAACAAAGATCTGTAAACACAATTACTTTCATATACGCTCTCTAAAAGGGAAAATAATTTCACTCTTCAATAAAAGACAAAGGTATAAATACTGACAAAGTAGGAACATGCTGTATTTAAGCCAAAAATATTACTCCAGAATAACAGGGATATATGGGTCCAAACATTATTTATTGATATCATATGTAGAATACAAACCTAAAGAATACAAACCACATCAAACAAAAAAATAGCCTCCACACAGGACAGATTAAAACATCAGCTGAAGGATGGTAACTTAATCATTTACTATAAAAGCTAAATTGGTTTCCTATCTTTTCCAGAGTTTTTCAATTGGGGGTGGTTTTGCATCCCATATAAAACACTTATTATCATGACTAGAGGAAATGTTTACTGGTGCTAGTGGGTAGAGGTCACGGCTGCTGCTAAAAATCCTACAATGTATAGGGTGCCCCCCCCCCAACAAAGAATTATCCAAGTGAAATTGTTAATAGGGCCCTTGTTGAGAAACCCTGCTTTAAAATGGAAAAATAGCAAAGCCTGGTGTCAGTCACACAGATTCTTACAATAATCTGTAATACACATGAATCAATACAATTACATTATCCAACTACAATATAGATAGGTCTGTCAAGAATACTCACCCACAATCTTTCCCCCTCCTCCCTTTCCCACTACTCTCCTGATTCTTGCTCCTTTTAAACTTCTTTAAGCCACTTTCCCATTACAAAACCTTCAATTCTTCTGAGAAATAACACACATAAAAAATTAACTTATCTATCTTGTCTGAGGTCTATAATTATTCAAGTCATGAATCTGATATATGCTCATGAAGCTCCGTATTGTCTTCTTTTTTTTAATCCTCACCAGCAGATGTTTCCATTGCTTTTAGAGAGGAGGAGGGAGGGAGAGGGAAAAGGGAAAGAGGAATGGGGTGGTGGGGAGAGTGATCAGTTGCCTCCCATACGTGCCCAAACCAGGGAACAAACCCAAAACCCAGGTATATGCCCTGACCAGAAATTGAACCCATGACCCTTGGGTGCATGGGAAGACACTCCAACCAACTGAGCCACACCGGCCAGAGCAAACTTAGTATTGTTTTGATTTAAAATTTTACAAAGAACTTTGTCATCCCTTCCCAGAACCACCTCAAAAGAACAGAGAAGTGACCCATAACAATACTAAATATTATCCTGTATATTTCTAAACCATTATGAAAAATTTACTCATTCATCAGTACAAGGTGAGTTCCAAAAGTTCATTCCTTGTTTCTAAGTAATCCTTGGATTCAGCTGCACTCATTAAACACCTACTAACTTCCTTTTACGTCTTCTTTAAAATTCATTTTAATACTCCCAGATTCTACTCTTCATATTTCATTTAAATTTTGATTCAGTCTGTATCCATTTGGCAGCACTTCCAACACTTACAACCATTTTTTCATATTCTCTCTGTAATTTCTCTAGTTTCATTAAATACTTTTGGATGCATAATGAACAAAACTCCCAATAATAGAGGAAGTACAAAATACATCATCTGTATATGGATAAACCCCGATTCAGGATTAATTTTCAATACAATTCTTAAAAATAATATAATATCAAAATTATTTTTCACATAAAAAGGAAATCAATATATTTTAAATACTAAACCAAGGCTAGATAAGATGTGCCTATGGTACAGTGATCAACTAAATGTGGCCATCAGTTTGAAAGATGCCATTGAAAGGAATCGCGTGTATATAAAAATATGTAAAAGATTTTGGAAATAGAAAGAAAATTGAATAGTGTCACAAAGTGACTTATTTATAAAGGGGTTTTAATTATATCTGGGGGAAAAAACTAACCCATAAGCAAATACATTATATTATGCCATATAAAAAAATCTATTGAAAACATACAAATCTGTCCAGTCTCCCATGCATCCAAATGGAAGGTAGAAATATTTTCAATAAAATAGTCTAACAACAGTTTGAAATTTACTGTATTATATAAGCTCAACCAGTGATTTCTTTCTTTATAGAACTTTTTAAAAATTGCTTCAGGGCACTGTACCTTCTTAAGGTTAGCATATGCTTATTAATACAGAAAAATTCACTCACCATTTCAGTGGTGTGCCTTCATGTTCAAACCATATCTCACTAATGTCTTCTTGTCTCATAACCTTCTGAAAGTGCTTCTTCACTTTGTCAGTTACCAATGTCAAGTAACTAACTCTTGGCAAAAGCAACTGAAATAAAAAATTGTGAAACAATATTTATTTACTATTTTAACACACACACACGCACACACACTAAATAGGTAAATAGGTTTTTGAATTTTAAGGAAAAACAACCATGTTCTTTGCATATTCTGAATATTTCAAAGTCAACTGCTTTTTGTAACAAATCAAAGGCCAAAGGTTAGGATGTTTTAAAATTTCTTATGAGATCATTACTTTAAGTACAGCTTACAGAATAAATGCCTAGAACAAACAACACATATCTAAGTGCAATCTTTCCATAATTTTCTCCAAATAAAAGAACAATGTGATCAGATGTCAAATCACTCAGGATACGTAGTATTTCAACCAACTTTAACTTAAAAATATGAATCACCAGAGTTAATTAAATTGTTCTGAAAGGATAATCAACTCGGTCCTAAAGTATACCCTGACTGATCAATCAGGACTTCTCAACTAGTCTCTCACGTTTTGATAATCTGCCATGTATTAGATCAGTTGCAATGAAGAATATCAAGACAAAGACACAATCTGTCCTCCTCTGTATGAGGCTAAAATAGAGGTTAAAAAAATGAGTATATTTTATAACTACTTATAAAAATATTCATGGCAGCAACAGATCTTTAAAAGTCAAACAGAAATTTTCATTTGATAACAACAGGGGTCACTACCCCATTACCCCATGAATAAAAGAATGGCATGACGAGAAACAGTATTTGAGGAATATTCTAGCAGCTGTATATAAAAGACTGAAAAGATTATAGACAGGAAACCTGTTAAGGAAATATTACATAAGGAGATGGGGATCAAGAAATGGAAAAGTGGGGAAGGTCTAGAGATCAGTTAGAACATATTTTGGTGATTACTAATGAAGAAATCAAAAAGATGTTTAAAATGACTGACTTTTGAGCTACACACATAAATCTTTAAAGTGCAATAAAGTGCAAGCTTAGGTAGAATGCTGGTAGACTGGTGACCCTGCACTATCAATTAACTCTCTCAACCCTGTCCTTACGAAGGTTGGGCCTTGGACTTTGGAGAGAAAAATCTAGGAGGGAATGCTGGGCTAGGTAAAGCCTCAACTGGATTACTGTGAAAGCCATCACTGTTTTTACCCCAGGAAAGGTACTCAGAAAGAAAATATAAGATAGCAAATGAAAGGAGAAAACTGGTGAGAATTCATGTCTTTTCCACCTTTGCCATAGTTCCTCTAGCCATTTCTTGTTTTTCTAAGCTTCTGTTTTCTTTTGCTGGTAAAATTGTTTTGGTACTCTTTCAGCTGCTTTTGTGCGTGTAACTCTGCATCATTTTTCATACTGCTTATTCAAGGTTATGTCTTCTGATCAGTAAAAATCAAGTACAACTACTGGGCTGGGGAATACAGACAAAGAGAGATATTCTGGTTAAAGGAAATGATACTTAAACACTGAAGCTTAAGATAACAGGCTCCAACCAAGTAGGTATGAGAACATGACAATGATCCTAGGGGCTACAGAGAACGAGTGTGTGGGAGGCATGCTCCAGAATGGAATAGATGGCACTAATACTACAAACAATCTGTTGGATAGTAGTGTGGATTCAACAGAACATAAGGTCCTCTTTTATAAAGTAACAACTAGAATGTGATTAGCAGAGAAAAGAAAAAGAGAACTAACACTAGTATAAGGAAAAGCACTAATTGTTTTACAAGAAATATTATCACCTCTATTTTATATACAGCTTAAATAACTTTCCAAAATCATATTCTACTACATAAATGGCAAAGAAAGGGTTCATTAGAGAGAGAAACAGCATCAAATACACATGTAACATGGACAGTCTCTAAGTAGTTNAAAGAAAAGGTTCATTAGAGAGAGAAACAGCATCAAATACACATGTAACATGGACAGTCTCTAAGTAGTTAAAACAGTATGGTAAATTGGCCATTTAAAAAAAAAAAAATACATATAATCTATCAGTCGAGTAAGTTCTATATTACAAGTCTAGAACTTTACCTTAAAATGTCCGTTAGGCATTTAATAATAATAGTAATCACCATCTGTTCTGTAGAGAATGATATTAACTTAGGGAGATTGTAAGAAGGAAGACACGTTAGGACTAATGAGTATGGACATCAGCTCCTGATTTCGGAGAGTGTTACACTACATGCCTAGGGTTTGATCAAAGTTGCTGAAAAATTCACAAATGATTTTCAGGAAACCAAAACTTCTTTACAATAAGGAGATGAGGAACATTAGAATGTAAGCTCCATTAAGAAAGGAATATTTGTGTTTTGTTCACTGATACATTCCCAATGCCCCCAAAATTATAATAGGCACACAATAAGTATTTGCTGAATGAATCAGAGATGCCAAAGGTTAAACTGGGACAAAAGGCCAAAAATGATAATAAAGAATGCCCCTCCTTCAGACAGAAACTATAGGGAAATGTAGTTGGCATCTTCTGTTTCAAACTGGTCTACGACTGATATAAATATCTACAGTAACTCTAAGATTTAAGAATGACTATATTAGATACGATTTACCTAATAAATTTTAAATAAGCACTTAGTAAATATTTAAATAGGTAAAAATGAAAAGAAAATAACAGCAAAAAGACATCATCCTGCCTTGTATATCCACACTGTACCACTCATTTTTCTTAGATTTATCTCATTGGTTTACTTTAAGTTCTTTTTATAAATCCTGGTAAAATATACCTAGCATAAAATTTTCCCTTTTAACCATTTTTAAGTGTATAGTTCAGTGGCATCAAATACATTCACACTGTTGTGCAGCCATCAACACTATCCATCTCCAGAACTTTTCATCACTTCAGACTCAAATTCTGTACTATTAAATGATAATTTCCCCATTGCTCTTCTCCCTGGCCCTAGGTAATCACTTTTCTACTTTCTGTCTTTTGATTTAGACTATTCTGGGAACCTCATATAAATGGATCATAAGCCCTGGCTGTGTGGCTCACTTGGCTGAGTGTCGGCCCATGCACCGAGGTCACTTGTTCGATTCCTGGGCAGGGCACATGCCCCGGCTATTGGCTGGATCCCCAATAGGGGGCATGCAGGAGGCAGCTCATGGATATTTCTCCCTCTCCTTTCCTCTCTAAAATTAATAAAAACATATTAAAAATAATAATAAATGGATCATAAAATATTTGTCCTTTTGTGCCTGGTTTATTTCACTTCCATTAATGTCTTCAAGGTTCTTGAAGTTCTTTTAATATGAAAAGGATTAATCCCTTCTGGGGATATTGTCAACTATATGGAATTTAGCATTCTCTTGTTCTTCATTTAGCACTGTCAAGTACTCCAGTGAGTATGACACAAGTGACTCATTTTCTTCTATATAGCTTGTAAGACATACGTTTTATATAGTTGTATGTTACTTATGTTTCTGAAAATGGTGCCTCTAATACTGTTTGTTCATGCTAAATCCTATTTTGTTTCATCATTTTCAATTATAAAATTAGAGATTTACTTATTTAGAACAAAACTAGAATTACAATATACTAGAATTCTGTTCCATTTCAATGTGTGAGGCATTTCACCAGGCAATAAGGATACAACACTGAATGAAACAGAAAGTTCTTCCTCTCATGGAGCTTACAGGCTAGAAAGGAAGACAGTAAAATTGAAATTATAAATGTGATAAATTCAAGGAGGAAGTAAAGAATGTTATAAGAACAAGTAGCAAAGGATTTTAACATAATCTATGGGCTCAGGAAAGGCTATTTTGAGGTAACAGTCAAAAGGCAAACAAGAGTAAACCAAACATAGGTGGGTGTGGGTGTTGGGTATGAGTAGGGTAAGAGACACTGCTGTTCACTCATTCCAGACAGAGGAAACTGCAAGAAGGCATGGAGTGAATACAAAAAGACAAACTAGCACATTTGAGGAACTATAAGAAGTTGAATATCACAGGAATGTAGAGGGTTGGGACAGAATAAGTACTAAAGAAGCAAGGGACCAGATTATGAAGAACCTTGTAAGCTACATCAAGGACCCTAAAGATGATGAAAAGCCATGAAAGATTTTAAGCAGGCAGGTGGCAAGGTCAGATATGTGTTTTGAAAAGATTACACCAACTGCAGACTAGAAAATGGAAAGAGGACAAGACTGAGACCAGGGAAATTAGTACTATGCAATCCATCAGTTTCTAAATGGTGGTTTGAAGTAGGCTGGTAGCACGGGGTATGAAAGGAACTGGTAAGTTTGAGATATTTCAGATGTAAAATCAGATGGACTAAGTTACTGACCAAATGTCAGGAATATAGGAGAAGGAAGCATCAAGGGATGAGTCCCATGTTAATTACTAGTAGGAGTAATTAATTAGCTAGATGATAGGTCTACTTGCCAAAATAGGGAGGAAATATGGCAGATGACCAGGTTGTCTGGGGATAAAGATGATGAGTCCAGTTTCAAACATACTCAGTTTAACTCCTTTGAGACATCTGAGTAAGGATATCCACCAGACATATAGATTGAAGCTCAGAAGTAAAATCTTGGGAGTTGTCAAGACAAAAACACTCAAGACATAAAAGTAGATAAGAAGCCTAGTCAGACTGGCTCAGTGGTTACTATCAGCCCTCAGACTGAAGGGTCTCAGGTTCAATTACAGCCAAACGCAGGGACCTCGGTTGCAGGCTTGATCCCCAACCCTGGTTGGGGTGCCTGCTGGAGGCAACCAATCGATGTGTGTCTCTCTCCCCCTTCCACTCTCTCGGAAAAGCAATGGAAAAAATATCCTTGTGTGAGCAAAAAAAAGTTAAGTTTTGATTTTCCCTCACTAGCTTGGCTCAGCAGTTGAGCATCAACCTACGATCCAGATCTCAGTTGGACTCTCAGGGCACATGCCCGGGTTGTGGGCTCAATCCCCAGTAGGGGGAGTGAGGAGGCAGTCAATCTATCGATATTTCTCTCTCATCGATGTTTCCCTCTCTCTCCCTTCCTCTTTCTAAAATCACTAAAAAATATATAAAAAGCAAAAAAGATGTCATTAGTGACTGGCAAGAATAGTTCTGTTGTAGTAGTGAAAATGTGACTACAGCGAAGTAAGTGGTAGGAGGTAAGGAATTGATGGATACAGACAACCTTTTTAAAGTCTGGCTATGAAGGGAAAGCAAGAGGTTGAAACAGAGATGGGTCAACAGAGTGTTGTTTTAGATAAGATTTAAAACAATATAAATGCTGAAAAGAAGTAGCCAGTAGACAGAAGTTGAAAGTAAAATAAACAGAGAAGGCAGCAGTGGGGATGAAAGACTCTTAGAAACCACCAGCTTCCTTAAGAAGGCAGGAGATGGGTCCAGAGAACAGATGGAAGATTGGGTCTTGTCTAGAGGAAGAATACCTCTTCCATTAGCAAGAGAGAAGTAAACATGTGTGAGTGCAAACAGGATTTGCAGACTTGGTGAAAATTATGGGAGGTACTATCACATAGTTTCTATTTTCTTTGTGATGTAGGAAGTGAGGTCACCTGTTTAGAGTGAAAGATGAGGTCAGGGCTCAGAGAATAGTTATAATGGAGAACACAGAACCTGACTAAGAAAACATGAAAGGACTGCTGGGTAATGTTTAGGGTTCACTTAGATTGATGGCCATATTTCTGACTGTTATTTCCTCTGGTAACAAGTCACAAAATATGAATCCAAATTAGTATGTTTTTACATTATCTAAATGAAAAACAACAGCTTAAATGAATACAGCAGAAACAACAAAAATTGAAAAGCTGCCTAGATTCTAACAAACTTTCTTCCTAACATTCCCTGAAAGACAGAATAGAAATTCTTTTTTTGTTTTAATATATTTTTATTGACTTCAGAGAGAGGAAAGGAGAGGGAGAGGGAGAGAGAGAGAGAAACATCAATGATGAGAGTCACTGATTGGCTGCCTCTTGCATACCCCCTGCTGGCCCATACCCCGGCATGTGCCCTGACTGGGAATCAAATGGTGATCTCCTGGATCACAGGTCGATGCTCAAACTCAGAGACACACTGGCTGGGCCAGAATATAATTCTTAATGATAGGATGTAGGCTGAAAGATTTATGAGAAGACAACAAATCAAAATGTAGATATAGGAAATTAACATTCATATGCTTTTCCAATGGAAACAGAAAACTCTTTGAATAATTATTATTTAACTTATAAATTTGGTATGAGTGGACATTTTAAAATCTAGTTTCTAAGAAATAAACCATAAGCATTATAAAAGTAAACTACATTTCCACTCACCTATCCTTATTTTACCTGAACATGAACAGACTTTTCAAGCCATGGTGATAACCCTGAGCTTTGAGAATTTCTGGGAAAGAGGTACACTGGCTATCAGGCCATGATATTTTTACCTCATATCATCCAGAATCTTTAAAACATTATTATTATAAACCAAAGCAATTAAAAATACTTTTAAACTTAATTTACAACCCCAACATATGTGAACTAAAACCATATGGGCACTAAAATCCTCACCTATAATTCTAAGACTAACCACTACTGTTTTTGTATATTTTCTTCCTGTATGTATTAACTTGCACTTAAAGAGCAAATTCTGGATTATGCTACATGTTAAACCCTAGTTTTTATTTAGTATTTATTATATGCCTGTTACCCAATATTCTTCAAAAACATCATCATTATGACTATAAGTTTCTTTTGGGCGAAGAATTAGAAAGAATTCAAGACAAAAACAATTACCTATTAGATAAAACAATCCTTTTCCTCCTACCTCTTGCCAATTTCAATTCAATCAGAAATAGCTAGAAAACAACTTACACTCTAGTTCTCAAGCCAGTCTTTTAATAATTAAACAGATTTATACATAAAGAAGAAAAAATACTGTATTCTTTCCTTGAATTTTTTAAACCGCAGGAAATGTGTCAAATATCATATTCTGATGCAAAAGTAAACCCACTTAAGTGATATATTTTTCAGTTTTTGCCACTTTGACCAACTAGATACATATTTTCCTTTTGTTTAGATACTATTTGAAAGTTATCCACAGTTAAAAGTTTTAACTAAAACAGAAAATTCAAGTTTGGAAACAAAACAAAAATGATATCCTAACCCATATAGAAGAATTAGAGAAAAAATACATATAACAGATGAAAATTCTTCTAAAAATAAACTATGGCCACATTTTGTTTTTAACTACAGAAGTTTTTCTAAAGGGAGAAAACTGTTGAGCTTTCCAACAGCCTGACTTTCCATAGCTTGAGCAGGTTGAGGAGCAGTGCTGCCTCCCAAACAGAAAAGGGAGAAAGCAAAGGGCAAGCTTTATTAAGGTGAAACAAGAAATAGTCCAGAACCACAAATATATTTCCCACTTTTCCAGAACCTCCTGGGTAAACAATATTATGTATAAATCAAAGCAATTAAAAAGAAAAGCACTCAAATAATGACAACTGAGAATGTCTATGCCTACCAGGGGCTATTCAGTAAATAGGCAGAAAACTATGATTTCCGATACATGCTTAAGTTTGGATTATATGTGCACTCGGAAAAAAAAGAAGGAAAAAAGAAAAACAGGCTAAATTCAGAAGATATTTGATATTCTCTTTAGAAGAGATAATACACTAACTCAAACTACAAGTCTATATACAGCAATTTGTTATTAAATAATATATTTTATCTAATATATATTAGCTCATTGACATATGAAAACACACATATGCTCATATGTTCACTGAGCTATAATAAAGAATTTGTCAAACAGTTGCTTGGAACCACCTAAATACAAAGAATGTGAACATATTTTCAAAATAGCTTCCTGTTAAAAAACAGCATATAACTTATCATTCCATCATCATATATATGCATACGTGCATAAGAAAAAGAAAGTCAAGAAGGTCCCATATCAACATGTCAACAGTGGTTTTTCCATTTGGGTGGTAAGAACAGAGGCAATTTTAATTTCATTCTTTTTGCTGATCTGTGTTTTCTAATTTTCCATAATAGGCAAGTACTAATTGTATATAAATGTTGAATAACAGCCTCCAGGTTCTTAGAGCTTTATTTACAAAAATGAACAAAGTCAAATATCCCATATGCCACCATCAACATACTTACATAATATGGTTCTGCCTCCCGTTCAGTTATCTCATCCTGATACAGGGTAAAGCAAGTTGGAATTCGTCCAAACCACACATCTCGAAGCACGTCTTTGTCATCTGTCATTCTTCCAGTGGTTAAAGCAGTACATATAGGCTAAATTCTTTTTTCAACCAAAGCTAAACTGAAAATAAAATAAGAAGCATTAATCAGATCCTTGAACCTGCTCTGAAACAAAGAAAGATTATAGGAAAAAATGAATGCCAAAATCAGTACAACAAATTCTAAATGCAGAGCTATTCTTTGAAGGGATCACAGACATAACCAATTCAAAATTATGTACACTAACTAATGAACCACAGCCAAAGTGAAAGTATAGAGACATCATTCCCTCAAGCCTCATCTAAAGTAAACTCCTCACTTATGCTCTATCGACCCTTATAAGCCAACTCCAAAATGTCATTCCACAATTATCCCTGTCCCATATTTTAACCTCTCCTACTCCAAATAGTTCAGACTCTCTTTCTGGGAAAAAAAAACAAAAAACAAAAAAAAAAACACAAACAATACCTCTCTCATCTTGGAAAAGAATCTTTGTACAAACTTATTCCTATTCTAAATTTCATCCTGCCCACAATCTTGATTCCACCAATATTTCCAATCTTATTTACTATATTTCTTTTTAAACCCTCTATCAAAACTGGTCCCTTACAACGCTGCTCTCTGCCCTACGATCCCCCCTGACTAATATCCCCTTCTCTCACCTCTCAAATCCTACCTACTCTGCAAACATAGCTCACAATCCTCTGACCCAATGAAACAGTAAAAGTTCTACTCTGATGCAGAATATTCCCTATACCACAAATATAGCACTAAATCTGCAAACTAAAATATTCTGAATATGGTAGAAGGACATGGCTTTTGTCCAAGTGTCTTCCAGCACTAATAATTACAACTAAACAACATCACAATATACTGTTGGAGTAAATGCTGAAGTAAATATTGCTGGTACCTGACTACTGAGATTCAATAGCCTTATATTTGTGTGTGTATATATTTTCCATCTTTCATAAGCTAGCTAATTCATAATTTATCATACTGTATCCTGTAGAAACATTTTAAATAACTGTATTAGTTTAGCTAAATATCAATTATTACCACTGAATTATTCAAGGAGCTTTTCTCTCTCTCTTCTCTCCCACTGGCCAATGCCAAGTACATCAAGACTGCCATAAATTAATTAGTCAAAGAGAGAAAAACTCCAATAGAGTTCTAGGTTTGTATCACTATACTTAAGAGTACACCTTGGAGGTCAACTGGATGCAATGTCATCTACAGGTAAGTAAACTGAAAGAGGTGAAAAACTGTGCCCAACTAGAGCACTAATTAACACTCAAACCATAAGAACTCTGTTCACTTAAACTGAGACCAGTGCTTTTTCTAGCATACCAGTGTTTTAACTTTTATTAAAATATATCCATAAACAAATCTTATCTCTTGAGAGGCACTATGATGTGGGGGTTCAAAATGTAGAATATGAAGCCAGATCACTGGGACTCAAAACTTAGCTCAGCCACTTACTATGTGACCTCAAGTAAGCCACTTAACTTCTCTGTTTTCTCATCTGTCAAATGAGAATTACAGTGCTTACACACATAAAACATATAAAAATTAAATTAGTACTATGTAAAGTACTTAGAGCAATTTCTATAACATAGTACTATAAAGTATATCTATCATAATTTACAGAACCAACAAGAAAGAGCATGTCTCAAAAAATGTTTAAAAGTCCTAAAGACTTCAAGAACTAAGAATAATCAAAAGTATTATATAATGTAAGCAGGAATAAAAACAGTAAAGGAAATTAACTAAAAATTATGCATTAAACATTGCTAATAATCCTTAATGCAAAGTCAATAAATATTTGCTCATTTGATATTCCCAGCTCTGTGGCAGGTGCCGAGGGTATGTATACAAGATGATGATGATGGTGATAATAATAACTTTTTAAAAACCTTAGGCATTGCCCGGAAGGTAATTTATCTAAATCTACTAAACATATCATGCACTTGCATGTCCTTTCCAGGGCTCTGCTCATACTGGTGGTTCCTTACTCTAAAGTTGCCTTCTCCACTGTATCTTTCCAATTTAGACATCCTTTAGGACCCAGCTCAAATACCCTTTCTTCAACACATGACTCAGGTAGAACCTGTATCCTCTTCGTACCTTTATTTTTCTCTACTAAAGCACTTATAAGCTTACAGTAAAGATTTTTTTCAACTCTGATTTCTAATGTCATACTCTTTCCATCGCACCATACTGATTGCCAACGTGCCTTCCAACCCCAAAACATTCATGGTTATAATGAAATGTTACTTGCAGAGAGCTTTCATAAGGAAGGAGGGAAGGAAGTAAAATATTAATATATCCTATAGTGTTCGGGGAAGAATTTTAAAAGATATGGAAACTGAAGAATGGGTAGAATATGGGCAGGCAAAGAGAAGAGAAATATTCCACTCAGGGAAAACTAGCACTGATAAAGGCAGAAAAGGAGCAGAAGCAGTATGTTTGCAAATATTTTAGGAAACTCTGGGTTGGGAGTAGATAATGAAAAGAGATGACACTGTAAATTCTTAATATCACATGTAGACCCTGGGCAAATCACTGTACTTCACTAAGTCTCAATTTCCTTACCTGTAAAATTCACCAGGCTATTCTGGAAAAAAAATACACAGTGCTTGAAAGGGTATTGGACACATACTAAGTGCTAGAAATGAATTAGTATTCTTTTAATGTCAAATCTGTTAATGTAAAATAAGACTAGATCATGAATATTGTGGGTTCTCAATTTCATCCAATAAGCCTAGAGAGCCTGTAAAGTTTTATAACGAAATAAAAACAACTAAATGATAGTAGTGAACAAAAGGAGATCCCAAGTCAGAGAGAATATAGCCAGGAAGCAATTTTAGCAACTAGGGCATATAATAACGAGTGCCTGACCTAGGCCCATAGCAGTGGAATGAAAGACAAATATGAGGTCTTTCCAAGGAAGAATGAAAAGTTGATGAAAAACTGGCTGAAAAACAAAGAACAAGACAGAGAAGATTTAAATGCTGACAGCAGGCAATAGAGTAAGGTAGGTAGTTAAGGGGTTTTGAAATTAGATTGACATGGGTTTAAACCCTGACTTCCACCTCTAAGCTGTGTGTGTGTCCTTGGACAACAAATCTGACATCTCTGAACCTCATTCTGTAAAATGAAGATAATTTTAATTTCAGGGGGCTCTTGGATGTTTAGCACCTGGTTATCTCAATAAATGGTATATGGATTTAATATATAGTTTCTTTGTGCTTCCATGGCCCCTCTGCTTGAACAACCTTTCCCTCTTCTTTTGCCAAACTCTTAATCCCCTTTTAAGCTTAACATCAGCTCCTTGGGAAGCTTTCCGCTAAGCGACCTCCAATCTAATTACTTCTATAACAGCATGTTATAACCATGCATTGCAGATATGTTTATCTTATCCGTCTCTTGCCTCTCCCCACACTGAACTGAGTCCCTTAACAGCAGAAACTGGATACCTTTGTATCCACAATATTAGCATAATTAGCACAGAGCAGGCTCTAGAATTTTTGTTGAACAACTGGAAAATTCATGTGTTGAACACATCAATATATAAAATATATAAATCCAAAAGTTATACTAGCTACTTAAAAATTTTTTCCATCTAAATGCTTTTCCAAATCAGTACAATCACACTTTAAATTCATCAAATTTCATTATTTAAAAAAAATACTTTTCCTTCTCAAACATACACTACACTATTATCATCATGCATCCAATTTGAAGCAATGTTTTGGAAGCACAGAAATCCCAACCCATGAGGCAGACTACTGGAAGCAAGCTGCTTGAGGGCAGGGGCTACTTCTGACTGCTCTATTCTCTACATCTATTTCAGGACCTGGAACAGAGCAGGTGCCCAATCAACAACATTTAGCAAATAGCATAGTGAATTTGACAAAAATATAATGCACAATAGTCCCTTTCACACTACACACAAGTAAGGCTAACCAATTATTGCCCAAAGCTATTTTGCTGACAAAATCCCCAACTACCTAGAAATTACTTAAAATATCAAATGCCTACTAGTAGTAAATTTGTAAACATCTAAAAATAATAGATCTCTCTTTAAATTCATGAACACTATCTTCAAAAGTGGGCCCTAAGTACTGCCCAGGGTTCCTCCATTTCCCTAGTCCATTTATTCTCCCACTGTCCTACATCACCATTTCATATCTCGGCTCTCCTCAGATTTTCACTTTTCCTTCCTTACTCTCTCTCAGCTAAGGACCTGGCTTCTCCTTTCTTCTACCTTGTGTCTAAAGATCAGTGGTTCTTGACAAGGGTTTTAATGAGCAGCCCTACCCTATCCTTGGGGGAGTTAGAAAAATCTCACCTACCTCCAAATGTTGAAGGCCAGGGCTCGGTCCTTGAACCATACCTTTGGAAGACTCTCATGGCTTTAAATATCACTTATACATTAACAATTCCCACATTTACATTCTGAACTCCAGTTTCATATATACTACTGCGTACTGACATTTCATTTGAAAATTTAGCACATTACAAAACTTAATGATTTCAGGTCTTCCTCCCTCCTCTCCCTATTACTCTATGCTAACTCTATTCTTTAGTGATCAAGCTCTAAACTTTGGAGTCATCCTTGACCCCTTTTCACATCTGATGACTCTAGCTTAGACACAAGTCATAAAATCTGCCATTTCTCACCACCTCCACTATTAGCACAGAGCCAAGTCACCATGACCTTTAACCTGGAAACATGTAACAGCCAATAGGTCTCATTTCTGCCCTTGCTGCAAACAGACAACAAAGCAATCAGAAAGATCCTTTAAAACACAAGTCAGATCAGTTTATTCTTATTCAAAGTAAAAACTAAAGTTCTTACAAAGTCCTACAAGGCCATATATGACCTGGCCCCATTCTAACCAGATTATTTACCTCTCTTCCCCCTTGCTCACTCAGTTCCAGCCAAACTAGCTGTACACTCCTGTCTCGGGGACTTTGTGGTTGCTTTGATGGGTCTTTCCACTACATCCATACAGCATTCTTCTTTAACACTTTTAGGTCTCTGCTCAAATATCATCTCTTCTAAGGTCACTACTGCAATCTACGCACACCACCAGCATTCCCCTTCATTGCTTTTTTTTTCTCTCGCTCGCACTTCTCACCATCTGATATATATATATTTTAATTAGTTTTTATATTACATCTCCCCAAGGTGAACTTCGTGATGGCAGGGATTTTTCTAGTTTTGGCCACTGTTCTGCTTTGTTTACTTTTTGCTTAGTGCTGGTACATTAACAGGCACTTGGTATTTGTTAAATTAATAAAGCTAACCTACACTTGAAATGTACACATTATTCTAAAAACATATCCATATAATATCATTCTGTTCATTTCCCACTGATTTTAACCAGCACATCTTTGAGGATGAAAGCACATACTTAAATCTATTGCAAAATTCTAAAATTCCCCTCAACTACCCTCAGCCCAACATCTTTACTTTCAACTTCAAAATTCAACCAATAACTCCTTCTATGGAAGTCACAAATAATTCAGTTCGGATCAAAGTACTCACAGTCCCCAAAACTCTGAGATTTATCAAGTGAATTCTGAAAGGCCTCGTAAGTTCAGTCTGCATTATGGTCTCTGGGTTCTGATTCTTGCTGAAGACCTGCTGCGCCTTCCCCCCCTACAGAAAAATCTAGAACCAATCCCGTTTCCCTGGGTTCCTCAAGTGCTTCAGGTATGATCTGAAAACAATCCAAAGTCTAATGAAAGTACGTGAAAATACTTTGCCAACAGAAAATGGCTTTGTTAACACTAAATATCATTAAAATGAGACTGAATGAACGCCGTTGAGAAAATAAGTTGGAAGAAATACCCACTGAATTCAGACAGAACTGAACTGCCTGTGAAATGATTGATTTAAATAACTGTTCCACGAAAAATGCAGGTCTTGAACTAAACTCTGGAGCCTAGGTTTCCTACCTTAATAAGGGAGAGACAGACGTATTCCCCCAGAGAGATCGCCCAGGCTTCGCCCTCGGGCCAGCCCACGGGATCAGAGGGCGACGCCGGGCCAGCCCCACCCCTCCCGGAGGACCCACCTTTACCCGCCACTGCCGCCCGCGGGAGCGCTCCTCCAGCCTGCCATTCGCCGCTCCTTTTTACCACACCTACCTGGCATCTCCCCAACCCTCCCCCTTCGGGCATTTCCTCGTGGGGGGAGGGGGACGCGGAGGACACACTCACACAAACACCCTACCAGAAGCGCCGGCTCCTCCTCCGGCTTCCCGCACGGGTGAAGATGACCTGGATCCTTCGACGGCGCAGGGTGCTTGACACAGTCCCGCAGAGACGCGCGAGCCCGGAGTCCCCCGAGCCCGCGCAGCCGCAGAAGGGCCCGGCGAGGAGGTCGGAGCCGAGCCCCGCTGCACTTCCGCCCTCCGGTATCCAGCAGATACAACCCGCGGCGCCGCAAACCCCTGGAAGCCCACCCCAAGTCCAGTTACCCTGGGCGCCCGGAGATGACGTCAGGGACCCCACGTGGCCCGCCCTCCGCCCTCGGAGGCAGCCCGGCCCCGCGAGGAGGCGGGAGCAAGCATGCGCGGACCGAGGGAGCGCGGGAGTGTGGGTTCCAAGCGCCGGCGAGTTCGCAGCCTCTTCCTCCGGAGAGTCCCCTACGGTTTGCGCAGTCATCGCTGTTCCGGAGCTTAATGTAGCAATTCTGCGAGCTCTCCGAGTTTTGAAAGTACTGAGACACTGCCTCACGGACACTTGATTGCAGCATCCCTCTCCTACCTTTGCACAGTAATTGTAATAAAACGTTGGTTTTCGAAGTTTTTATATCTATTTTCTCTTTGTTCTTCTCAACTTTGTCGGAGCCACATTAGAGATTAATAGTCGCCTTTAACAGAAGATTAAAATACGTAAGTACTGAAGTCCTCCCATCGATCCAAAAGTGTATATCTATAGCTTCCTGTTTGTGAAAATAAGCAATTAGTAAGCTTACTCCTGAAGAGTGTATGAATTAGATCTATCCAGAAGCCTTACCAGGCATTTAACTTTTTTCTCTTAAGATTGCCATGTAACATAACGCTGTGGCTAAGTAAATGCTGTGCTCGAGAGTCAATAATTTCCTGATAATTGGAAAGATTAGGGAAATCCTAGCTGTAGCCACCGGCTTCTTTTTAAAAGACCTCTTTTTGGAGGTTGACGAGTCTAACCTTTTTCAAATGGTGAGTCACAACCCAATGGTGGTGGGTCATCAAATCCAGCTAGGAGGTCATGACTAGTACTTTTTTTTTTTTTAGAGAGAAATCGATTTCTTGTTCCACTTACTTATGCCTTCATCGGTTGCTTCTTGTATGTGCCCCAACCCCGGGATCAAACCCTCAACCTTGGCATATTGGGAGAATGCTCCTAACCAAGTGAGCTACCCTGCCAGGCCCACGATCAGCACTTTTTAAAGGAAATAAAATAGAAAATATTGGCATGCTTCACACATGTTAAGGGGAAATATTGTTTCCTGAAATTATCACTTTGGTATGTATGTAGTGTACACTGGATAGGAGTGTGAAATACATTTCTTGGTGTGGGTAGCAGTCAAAAAAGTTCGAAAGCCAGTTTGGTCCACTCTACCTACTCAATGCAGAAATCCCCTCTACAGCATCCCCAGTGGATAGCCATTAGTGTCTGTTAAAAAAGCTCTTGGCCCTGGCTGATTTGGCTCAGTGGTTAGAGCACTGGTCCTCGGACTGAAGGGTCCTGAGTTCGATTTTGACCAACAGCACTGTACCTCAGTGGCTGGCTCCATCTGCTCTCCCGTTGGGATGCATGTGGGAGGCAACCAGTCAATGTGTCTCTCTCACATCGATATTTCTTTCTCTCTTCCCCTCCCTTCCACTCTCTGAAAAGCAAGGGAAAAAATATCCTCAGGTGAGGATTAGGAAAAAATAAAAATTAAAAATACATATATATATATGCATGTATAAAGATTTTACCTTGAAAAAAAATGCTCTTGGGATTAAGATGCCATAGATTTCCAAAAGTATCCCAAACTATAAGGAATTTACTGAAATGTATCCCAAAAATTAGATGGATTGATGAATGGACAGAGGGGTGGATAGATAAATATGTGATAATGCAAGTACAGTAAAATGTTAGTGGTAGAATCTAGGTGGCGAGCATGTAGGCATTCACTGTAAAATTCTTTCTACTTGGATGTATGTTTGAAGATTTTTCTAATAAAATGTTGGGAGGGAAACTATGTATGGAGAACCTAATAGGAAGAAATCTTTAAGAATTGACCCCGTTTTTCCCTTTCTCTCCTTGTTCCTGTTCCACCCTGTGGGTAAACGTATAATAGAAATATTTAACCCCAATTCTAATAGTTAGTACTTCAGATATGAAAAATAGTTCTCATACCCCCATAATCCACTCAGGGATAAGCTCTTCATATTTCTAAGGCACTACCTACCTCAATTCTTTGCACATAGATACTAATGTTGAACAAAAGACCAAAACAAGCAGTCCAGAATGCATTACACTGAGGAATTTAACACACATTTGATTGCGATTATGATCATATTTATGATTCTAGGATTTTTTTGCAATTCTAAGAACACATGCTTGAAAGTTGGGAAAGTATCATTATATACTATATCATTATTAGTGTTTTCTCCTATGAGGTGAGAGAATATTTGGAGGATCCAAATATTATTTTGAGACTTTCCATGCTCAACAGTCATAGGAATTCCATTTTGTATCTATTTAATTGGCATTCTAAAATCAATCCAGGAGCTGGAGGGATAGACTCTTTTAGCTTTTTTAAAAATTATTATTATTGACGTTAGAGAGAGGGAGAGAGGAAGAGAGAGAGAGAAACATTGATTTATTGTTCCACTTATTTATGCATTCACTGATTGCTTTTTGTGTATGCCCTGATTGGAGATCGAAAGTGCAACCTTGACATATTAGGATGATACTCTAACCATCTGAGCTACCTGGCCAGTGTCTTTTTAGCGCTTTTTAATTTAATTTTTTTTTTTTTACTTATTTTTAAAATATATCTTTATTGATTTCAGAGAGAGGAAAGGAGAGGGAGAGAGAGATAGAAACACCAATGATGAGAGAGTCATTGATCGAGCCCGCAACCCGGGCATGTGCCCTGACCGGGAATCGAACCCCGATCGCCTGGATCCTAGGTCGACGCTTAACCGCTGAGCCACGCCTGGCCGGGCGCCTTTTTAGCTTTAATGATAGACTTTTATTCACTTTGTCATTCAGTCATTTTCACATTTCTTGAGTTCACATATGTGCTTGATAGTGAAAATAGCTCTTAAACAACAGCAAAGAAATCCCAAAAATTGAATATGTATTTTAAAGTCATAATTTCCCTATGACAACCATGTCATGTACCATATGTAATTCTATCACTGGTACAGATAAAATGCGGGTTCCTATTGAAAACATTGTGTTATTAAACTGTATGATTACAGTTACTCAGAGCTTTTTATCTTCTTGTCTACACGGATGGATTCTGAGGGGTGGATTAAAGTAATATGTCAAATATTCTTTGAAAAAATACATATTCATAGCTCATGCATTTGTGTTTTAATTTTGATTCCATAAATTAATATTATTCTAAATTTTTTTGAATTAGATGATTTGATTCTTCCCGTATGAATATTTTTCTATAAAAAGTTCTTATTAAAAAATTGGGACAAATCAGGCAGTTTTCAATGCGTTTTTTCAGTGAGAACAGAAGAAAAATAGTTTGGGAAGTGGGAAGTCTTTTTTAAAAACCCTGAACAGCCTGACTTGAAACAGCAAAATAAATCCTTGCAATAACACGTTGTTGTCACCAGATGTCACAAATGACCAGATACAAAGCTTAGCCTGCAAGGCTAGTTAACAGCACCTTCAATGAAATAACAATGTTTTCTAATAGGAAACCTCAGGTTACCTCAGGAGATCTTGTGAAAGCCTTAGAAAGTTCTCAAAACAAAGTTATTTCAATCTGAAAAAAAAACAAAACCCACTTTCTTTTTTTAATCCTCTCCTCAGGATATTTTTTCCATTGCTTTTCAGAGAGTGGAATGGAGAGAGGGAGAGAGAGGAAGAGAGAAACTTTGATGTGAGAGACACACATAGATTGGTAGTCTCCCTCACCCACCCCAACCTTGGGAGCTTGCAACCAAGGTATGTGTGCCCTTATCCGGAATCGAACCCAGGACCCTCCAGTCCAAGGGCCAACGTTCTAACCACTGAGCAAAATGGGCCCACTTTCTAAACCTTTTCAATACTGATAAAATCTCTTTCAAATTTATTTTCCTCTCCACATTCTACTCTTGAAATCATAAGATAGTGCAGCATAGCATAGTTGAGGACATGGGCTCTTAAATCCTATATCTGACATCCATTACCTGTGTGGCCACAGGCAAAATTATTCAACCAGGACTGACTATGTAATGCACCATAGTCAGTGCAAAATGAAAATGAAGCCCTTGGTTAAGAAAAGGAATTTCAAGATGGCAACAGCAGAGCTTTATATCAAGCACTGAGCAATTGAACAGGTCGCTCGCCCAAGAACCTGGCTGTTATATAACTTCTCCAAGTATCCACTTCATTTTTCTTGAGGTAAAATGAGGATAATGGTAGCAACTGCTTCATAGACTTCTTGTGAAGATTATGTGGGATGATGCTCATAAAACATTTATCAGAGTGCTTGGCACTTAGTGAGCTCTCCGTAAATGGGAGCTGTTGTTTTTATGTCCTTTATTAGGCTCTGTGCCTCCTCTCCCCCTCACCAACCCATTTTACAATCTGCTGCCAGAGAATCTTCTTTAGCACAGTTCTAATTATGCCCCTGCTCTGGTTTTACAAAAACCAATCCTCACTGCCTACAGAAAATAATCTAAATTTTTTTGGTCTAATCCTAACCCAGTTTACCAGCTTCAGCGCCCATCAGTCTGGCTCCTGGTGTCTGTCGGACCTCACTCACACCCTGTGCCTTTGCTTACTCCATTCCTTCTGTTGGAAATGCCCTTTCCCCAGGGCTGTAGGGAAAATACAGGTATCAGTCACAGTTCTGCCTCAGAGTTGCTTACAATCTAAACTGGGAAACAGAATATTACACAGAGATTTAGCAACAATGCAAGACAGGACAAAAAGAGTGATCAAGAAAAAAATGTCATAAAAGTTCAAAAGAAGCAGAAGTCATGACTGAAAGAGCACTTTCTTAGAGCACTTTTATTTCATAGTTTATTAGCAGTTACTATATTATGCATAGACCATATGTTATATGTATCAAAACCCATAGCTCCATGGATTCTTTTTCAAAAATAAAATTCATATTTTTAAAGTTATTAAATGCTGAACTTAAAAGAAGGGCAATATATTTTTTAAATTAATTAACTTTATTTTTCAGAGCAGTTTTAGGTTCACAGCATAATTGAGCAGAAAGTCTGGAGAGTTTCC